AAAGGGAATAAAGGCAACAGGACTAACGTTTCCAGAAAAGGTGTCTTTCTCTGAATCCAGTCGGTGTGGGTTGTTCCAGTAATTGACTTGCTCGTTGGAGGGCGGACAGGGTTTACCCAGGTTGAGGAGGTTCCTTGAGGAACGGAAAAGCTGACTGCAACTTAGATTTCGTATGGTACTTGAACGGTTTCTTGTGGAGATGAATCCCCAGTTCAGTGTGAAGCTCAAACAATCCTTTGGGGAAAAGTGGATCCAAACCTCCTGTTTGAATCCCCAGCTCAGTTTGAAGCTCAGACGATCCTTCCAGGGGGAGAAGGTCCAAAACATCCAGTTTGCAGGATGACTTCCTGCTGAGAAGCAAAGACAAAAACAACAATGTTAAGACTCAGGTTGACAAAAACTCAGTTTGACTCAGCAAAACTCAGCTTGGCTAGAGTACCCAAAACTGGCAAACACTCTACCGTCGAGGTAGTGGCAGTCAGCAGCTTAAGAGTCCTCAGGTAATGAGGCAACCATCTGCAGGTGTGTGAGAGGGCCAACAAGAACCAGGCACCACCTAGTGGGGGTGGAGGGAAAAACACACAAAAACACAACACAAAACAACCCACACAAACTGGATTCCTAACAAGAACAACATGTATAAATGTGAGAATAGCTTTTTTAGCAAGGGCCTCATGAAAATCGGTCTGTCTTTTTTCTGGAAAAATAAAGATGTAGGTTCACTGTGATCAGTATAGATTGACCCTGAACTGTTTTCGGTGCAAATTATTTTTAGGCCAACCCCCAGTGTACATGGGTTGCTGTCTGCCCACCTTTGTGGAAAAAATAAATAAATTTGGGACCGCCTCTGTTTTCAAATATTGGTCCAAATTCTTTTTTAATTTTCTATTTCTGGGTTATTGAGACGAGCACCATGAGGCCTCAGGGCAGGGAGAGCAGCTGGCATGGAGGTGACCTCTGTCATGACACTAAAATCTCACTTTTTGGTAGCTCTGTTGCCATGTTTCTCTGATGCATAGGCCCTGCCTGTTAGAACTGTGTTTCTATACTGTTCTAAATGGAATACATTGATCGACTACCATTCAAACAATAAATCACTTCAAGCAGTAATGTAATCGTGGTTACAACAGGCTATGGCAGGCCATTTGACGTTTTTTTTAGTTTGTCCCAATATTTATGATATCTGAAATACATTTTCTCATTTTCAAAATAAATATTTCAAAATAAATGAAATTATTCATATCTAAAATAAACATTCTGGATGTCTAAAAATGAACTTTATCTCCATGCTATTGTTACTGCTCATGTGAAAAATGTAAATCCCTTTATTGTCCCACAAAGGGGAAATTCACTCTCTGCATTTAACCCATCCCCTTGGGGAGCAGTGGGCTGCAACTGTGTGGTGCCCGGGGAGCAGTGTGGGGTTAAAGGTTTTTGCTCAGGAACCCAGAGTGCAGGCTGTGGGGATTGAATTGGGTACTTGCAACCTTCTCAGAGCACAAGAGCACTGCTCTATCTTAATATCAGTTCTGTATATCTTTTTTAAATTGCATGATAGTTGTTTTGATGATGTCTGTTCAAAGATCTTTTTCAAAGATCTTTCTTTCATTCATTTTGGTTAACCTGCTTGAAGCAGATTTGAATGAACTTTACTTCCTGACCTTCCCTGGTATAGGGGAAAGCTGTGATATGTAGCATTTCATTCCAAGTAAAATCCATTGTAATGTGCAAATGAAACACCTCAGAAAAAAGCCAGTGTCACAGATTTGATTAGCTGTGCCTTTTAGAGTAAAATAAGCTGCTATGTCACTGTCCTCTCATCTTGTCCAAATACAGCGCCCTGCAAAGCATTGAAGTTTCCCCCATTTGGTCACATTACAACCACAAACAGTATATACCGTATATATTTTTTAGGATATTATGTGAAAGGTTAACACAAAGCTGTTATGGTTTCCCCCTTTTTGGGACTTTTTAGTTTTCAGTTATCAGTAATTCTGTTTTTTTGATGTTTGGTTTATTTTCCATTTTGTGTTATATTTAAGCAGTCTTAAGTTACTCTCTGTTGCCCCCTGGTGCCTGTCTCATTTTCCCCAGCTCCCTTCTAGTCACTTTCATTCACACCTGCTCCATATCAGCTGTCTTGGTTCTGTCTCTGCAGTTCTTCAGTGCTGGTTCCTTGTTGTTTCTTGGCTCCCCATGTGTGTTTTCTGCTGACATCTCCTGTTTTTTGGGGTTTGATTCTTGGATTTTTTTTCTGTTGCCGTTTGATTCCATTAAACCTACAAGAACTCATCTCTGCCTCCCTCATCTCTGCACTTCGGTCCTCAACCACCCTCCACCCTCACGTTGATAGAAGCACGTTATCGTGACGTGGTACAAAAATGGTACAAATATTTCTGGGTTTGATTCCAGCTTCTTTCTGTCAAATGTCTCATGTCAAAGTGCCCCTAGGCAAGGAATTTAACCCGAGGTTGCCTAACTCTAGGTGTATCAGAATCAGAATTAGGTTTTTTATTTCCTCGTGGGAAATTCTTTTTTTTGCATTGCATCTGTTTACAGAGGAGATAGGAAAGAATGAATGGCGCACATTATTGAATTTGGGAGCGAAATGGGACAGAGCTCTCTAAATTTCACAAGCAAAAATGTGAATTGTTTGGCATTTCATTGTCTTTAAGCCCCTTTACTTTCATACCCCTAAAAAAAAAAACATGTAACCAAATGCTGTTTGAGGTCATTTAATTAGCAAATCCAGTTCACATGTGTGTAATCTCTTCTCAGCTTCAACCCAGATTTTATGTGAAGGCATCAGAGAACAATTGTGAACATGAACGCCAAGGAAGTGAGTTCAAAAGGTTAATGTTAATTCTATAGGTCCTTCGCTGAGGTGGAAGAAACTGTGGACCTGCTCTTTTTGGAGCTTAAAAAAGAAAAATATTAATAGAAAGCCATAATATGTTCTGTTTGCAGTTTATTTTAAGCCATGTAGGAAAGCATGTGAGTCTGACTGGTATATTTAAAATAAATACTACACAATTCATGATGGAAAAGTATGGCCATGGACACGCCTCATCCATCATGAAGCATGGTGATGGCAGCATTATGCTGTGGGCATACCTTTGGGGACAGGAAATGAAGCTTAAAATTCAATTTGTTTTTCCAAAAAAGTTTAAAAAACAAACAAACAAAAAAAACAATCCACTGGACTTTGTTTCCAAGTTTGAAGAAATTTCACTTCCCATCTAGGAAGCTTTTTCAATTAAATTGATTTTGAAAAATTTTGAACTGAAAAAGCTTCCTGGAGGAGAAACAAAACATCTTCATTTCTCATTTGAGGAATTTCTAACCTCCTCTCCATGTTCATTCGAGGGGAGTGTTGGCCTAGTGGTTAAAGCAGTGCGTTTGTGCTCTGAGAGGGCTGCAGGCAGCTGGTTCGATGCCCACAGCCTCCACTCTGGGTTTCTGAGCAAAGCCCTTAACCCCACACTGTTTCCTTGGGGCAACACAATGGCAGCCCACTGCGATGGGATGGGTTACATGCAGAGGTAAATTTCTCCAGTGTGAGACCAATAAAGTTCAATTATAATTATTCAAATATCTCTCAGACTGTCGTGTTGTTCTATGAACACACAACCAATTGGCTTTATGTTAGGACAACAGATGAAAGTTTGATTTAAGATCAAATCACTACACATTAAACAAATGTAAAAAATATTTACAACCAAAATACAGAAATTTAAAAACAGAAATCAAAATCCACAACCAGTGATGCCATCCAGTACAGGACTTTATGAAACCAAACAAATATACAAATGCATGGCACAGCATAGGAGAGCCAGTAACTATACATTCAGCTGAACAGTTGTACCTGAAGATCAAAGGACGCAACTTTGAAGACCAAAATATTCAGAGAGCACAGATGGTTGAACAAGGGGTGAAGGAACCCATCTTAATGCTCAGGCTCTGCAGCTTTAATTTATTCGTTTCAGTCTGTCCTCTGTGCGATTTTTTCACAGTCCATTAAATGTCTGAAATATAGTAAATTAGGATTCTGTGCTCCCTCCAAATCCTAAAGTTTGCATGTATTTTCCACAAAGAAAAGAATGTTTGACATGTTTCTTGGTTCTTTTTCATCTTTCCTCAAGTAGTGATAGACAGTAAAATTAGCATGTGTGAGGAAAAATTACCCTTGCAGATAAAAGAGCATTTCTATTTTCTGTCATTAATTCTGTTTTCAATAACCATCTCTCGGAGGCATGCCAATCATTTTGAAGGTGTGGATATCTGACCTTTTCTGTAGAAACGAACAATGTTTTGAACAACATGAAAGGCACAGTTTAGCGCTTTCCATCAGTAAACACTTTTCATGAGTTTTAGTATCATCATCTGGTAAATCTGCTTTAAATTTTAATTTTTACTTCTGATATTAGATTTTTTCTATAAACTATATATTCATATCTGACATCCTGCTGTTTGTGTCAGCAGCTCAAAGTCTCATAATTAGTCCTCTAATGGGCCGATGATAGCTTAATTGTAAGAGGAAAGTTATGGATTGTGCCCATCTTCAGATTATTTATATCACTACAATATGCCTTTAGTTTTGCAATAGATGCCAAAATGTAAACAGTTTTGGGGCAAGGGGAAATTCGTAATGGAGAATTAATGGTTATATCATTTGTTTGTTATAAATTAAAGGAAAATAATCTCAGTGGGAGAAACATGGTTTTATGCACCTCAGTGATAAAGATCCCAACTAATAAAGTGCATCTTTGAGGTCTTTTGCTATAAACCACTAGAGGGTGCTGCACTATGTTATATTTCACTTGCTTGCATACAAAACCATTTTGGACAGAGACAAATAATGATGCTCATTATTTGAAGCAATCTTCATAGGTTGCATTCCTTATTCTGTATGAAGCATTTGATGAAAACAGGGCAGGAGGAAAATCCCGCAACATCCTGTGGATGTGCAGCCACTTCTGGCTCACAGGCTTTAACTTGATTCCATGTGCTGTAGATTCATTTCCTCAGCCTCCTGCAAATCAACACTGACCAACATCAGTGTGAGGAGGAAGGAAGCAAGCAGAGAGAAGCAGGGGAGCAGGAGAGGTTTTACCAGATGTCCAAGAACAGAGGCAACTGCTAATTTAACAGTGAGGGCGGATAATTGTTGTATGAGCAGATGTAGACTCAAGATCCTTCCGGATGAGCAGTTTTTCTCTTCATTCTTGGCAGAATAAACAGCATTGTCGGTACATTTGGTCGCCTTTGTGATGGAAAACCTGTTGGATGTTAGAGGGAGGACTGCCTCAGATGACAGAGCTTTCACATGATCTGCTGTGAGTTCAACTAAAATGATAAATTGTTTAATCTCAAATGTTCAATTCTATTGATTTTTTATTTATTTTGTGTAGCTGTAGTTACACTTGCCTACCTGGTTTATTTGCACATGAATTTGCACATGAATTTGTTTTGTAATAGCTCCTGTCTCTGAGAAATAAAGAAAGCAGTTTGTATGATTTTATTAATATGTAACTATTATAGCGTGCTGCATATGCATATTTTTTGTTTAAATAATAATAGAGGTAATCTAGCATATTCCAGTGTCTCCAATTTTTACCAACTCAAATTCTTTCATAGATCAAGTAAAATAACATAAAGTCCTCTTCTTTGACTTCTAGTGATTAAAGCCGATAGTTTATTATTAGGTTTATTATTCATTTCAGTCTCTCTGGGCTCTTAGGAAATCCAGCACCTCAGGAGAAGATCAGTTAACAACTTTAATTTCTATTCATCTTTTAATGCATCACCATTACTTATCTTTTTTTTGTCTTTTTTCTTTAGAAAGGTCTGTTAGAGAAACCTTGTTCTGCAGTGGGGAAAAAATCATTAAAATAGATGAGTTCTTGGGGCTTTGCTGCTGGTATGCCGAATATTTCTATAAAAGAAATAAATGGAAGCAAAGCCAAAATCTGAGTCTCAGAACTTTTAACTATACGCTTTTGATAAAATTGCATAGCTTATTTATTTGATGTAACAAATAGATAAAAACAGCTTCTAGTAAATGTTACAACATCACCCTTTTACGTCTACTGTAACATAAGTTGAATTATCAGATGTTTATAAGTTGTACTAACTTCAATATAGTAGTGGCATTACTAATTAATTAAAATCAGCCCAGCTTAAACCTCTCTTTCTATTTATGATGGGTGTCTTATAAAAAACAGGCACAAATAAAATCTACCTTTTTCTTGACCTCTTTTCTTGCAGTATTCCAGGCATGCCAGAGAAGGTAACTGTGGGATTGACTTTATTAATCCAGATATGTGGAGGGTAATGTTTGGTTTATTTACTAGCAAAGTAGGTAGGCCACATAGATGTAACAGTACCCTTTCTAAGACCTTTAGCTATTAGGGATATAAATTTAAATTTTCCATTGAGATCTAGTTGCAATGACCAAATATGACTCTGTCATCTTTATCTTATGCCAAGCAATATATAAACTGCCTGGCCTCATCTAGGCATGATGAACGGTTGAGGTGGACTGAATCAATTTCTGATATATTCAGCTAATACCATTCCACCACTTGGGGGCAATTAAAAACTGCAACGATTCCTCAGTTTATCCCCAAATGTTCAAACAGTCATTACAAATCGACAGAAAAGACAAAGACGTTAAGGTCAATGTAACTTTATCTATCTTGATGCAGCGTCTGACAAATATTTGAATCCCAACTTTATAAAAAGACATAACCACTTCTTTTTTCTTCACTGAATTTTTCCTCCCTTAAATCGATTTGAAATAACTAAATTTATGCCTGTCTAAATTCATCTTCATCCTGTCATGGCAACTACAAAACAGGCTTAAATTTGAAGACAACAGGACTTTCGCTCAATTTATTTTTAAAGACGTTTCAACATATATCCATTTATTACTTTTAAATGTTTCAATACTTTCTTTAAATATATATAATTGACAAACACAACGCTCAGTGTGGCTTTAAAGAAGCTCTCATTATATGTTTGTTAGCTTCTGAGAGGTAAAGCTAAATTCACAGTTAAACAGAGGCACAGATACAGTAGTATTTTAAGGCAACACTTCAAACACAACACGTCTTTGTTTAAAATGTGTTTAAACAAAAAACAAAATGTCCAAACATCTATTTATCACACCAATCAGTCATGGAGATACAAACATGAACTGAAAGGCTACTCAAACTTGAAGAAGTCATGACTACATAAGCAATTTGAAGAGTCAGAATCTACAACTGCACTAATTCCTTAGGACTTAGACAGTTTTTATTTTCATTTTGTATACACAGAGTGTATACAAAACACAATTTTGTTTCCATTTTGTAAATTTCTTGATATTTTCTGTGGTTTCATGAATCTAAGAATGAGATTTTCAAATTATTTAACTATTTTTTACATTGTAAGTAAAAAAGTGAAGGCTGACAACCCTGAGAACGCTCGCCCGGTGATTTTAGCATCACTTTGTTGGGCACTGCAGGATGAATATTTTGATGAAGGAACACTATTTGGAATACAGAAATGCCCATAAAAGTGAACATACAGAAATCTGTCTAATGAGCGATGGCTCTGACATGCCACCAAAATAGACACACCTTATTTTATAGAGATAAACATGTATGTAACTACTATTACTTTGCTTAGTAATGCTAAATGTAGTTGCTCTGTTGTTTCCTGTCTTTTTCTACTGTATCAACTGATTAATTAATTAAAGGCACACCTTTAATTAATTAATCCAGGTGTGCCTGACCTCAGTAACTGTGGCCTGACACCTGGATCAATCAGTTCATCCAGTAATGAAAGACAGGAAACAAAAGAGCTGCCTTAAGTTCAGGAAGTAGTGGAATTATGCACAGAGCCCATGATCTTTGCAGATTGTATCTGATGAACAGCTGAGAGCAGAATATATATTTACAGCATTTTCGAGAGTTAGTCTACTTTTTTATTCAAGTGCTTGTGGTTTTAATGGTGTTCAATACTTTTAGATATTGTTTATAACAGTCTGCAATGTAATGATGGATGGATCCATCCATAAATGGATGGATGGATGTTTATACCAGTTTTAACCCACTAACTTTCATGTCTGGCCACTGGATATACACTCAACATAAATATAAACGCAAAACTTTTGGTTTTGCTCCCATTTTTAATGAAATGAAAGATCTAAAACTTTTTTCACATTAACAATATCACCATTTCGCTAAAATATTGTTCACAAACCGGTCTAACTCTTTGAAAGTGAGCGCTTCTCCTTTGCTGAGATAAGCTATCCCACCTCACAGGTGTGCCATATCAAGATGCTGATTAGATACCATAATTAGTGCACAGGTGTGCCTTAGACTGTCCACAATAAAAGAACACAGGTGCAATTTTGCCTTAGACTGTCCACAATAAAAGAACACAGGTGCAGTTTTATCACACAACACAATGCCATAGATGGCGTAAGATTTGAGGGATCTTGCAATTGGCATGCTGACAGCAGGAATGTCAACCAGAGCTGATGCTCGTGTATTGAACGTTCATGTCTCTACCATAAGCCATCTGAAAAGACGTTTCAGACAATTTGGCAATACACACCACCATCCTCATAACTGTAGACCAATTGTAACCACACCAGCCAGGGACCTCCACATCTGGAATGCTCACCTGCAAGATCGCCTTAGACTAGCCACTTGGACAGCTGGGGAAACAATTGGTTTACATGACCAAATAATTTCTACACAATCTGTCAGAAACTGTCTCAGGGAAGATCATCTGCATGCTTGTTACCTTCATTGGGGTCTCCACCTGACTCCAGTTCGTCGTCATAACCGACTTGAGTGGGCAAATGCTCACATTCGCTGGTATCTGCCATGTTAGGGTGGAGTTCTATTCTACTGAACTACACTGTTCAGGGCAGATGGCAGAGCAATTGTGTGGCATTGTGTGGGTGAGTGCTTTTCTTATGTCAATGTTGAGGATTGAGTGTCCCATGGAGGCAGTGGGGTTATGGTGAAGGCAGGCATCTATTATGGACAAAGCACACAGGTGCGTTGTATTGATGGAAATTTTTTAATACAGAGAAATACCATGACGAGATCCTGAGAACACCAGGAGTCTGCTATGTTGCAGCAGGACAATGCATGTTGCAAGGATCTATACACAATACTTGGAAGCTGAAAACATCCCAGTTCTTGGATGGCCAGAGTACACACCGGACATGTCACCCAGTGAGCATGTTTGGGATGCTCTGGATCGATGTATACGCCAGCCTGTACCAGTTCCTGCCAATATCCAGCAACTTCACACAGCCATTGAAGAAGAGTGAACCAACATCACAATTGACAACCTGATCAACTGTATGTGAAGGAAATGTGTTGCATTGCGTGAGGCAAATGGTGGTCACAGCAGATGCTGACTGGCTTTCTGAGTTCCCCCCCCATAAAACAAAACTGTACCTCTGTGAGTGGCTTTTTATTGCACCAATTTATTTATTTGTGCACCAATCATGGTGTCTTATCGGCATCTTGATATGGCACACCTGTGAGGTGGGATGGATTATCTCAGCAAAGGAGAAGTTCTCCCTATCAAAGGTGTAGACTGGTTTGTGAACAATTTCTGAGGGGAATGGTAGCATTGGGTGTATGGAAAAAGTTTTAGATCTTTGAGTTCATCTCATAAAAAATGGAGCAAAAGAGTTGCTTTCATATTTTTTTTTTTGTGTATATATATTCCTCCTCTGTAGGTTTCTCCCCATCTCTCTATGTTTGTTTCTCCTGAGTGTCTCCTTTTTCTTTGTTTCTGAGTTTCTTGCCTGTATTTTCTGGGTTTATGCTTCTGTTACAATCTAGCTCTTCATAAGATCTGCGAGAAACCATCTCTGCCCTCCTTCTCTGCATTTGGGTCCTCTATAAAACTCCAAAGATCCTGACAAATAGGTTATGAGATTGTACAACATGGATAAAAAAAAAAAGATTGCTTGGCTGAAGTACTCTTACTGTGAAATATAACAGTGTAACCTGTACCGTGGTGTTCTTTCAGTTCTTCTAATTTCCTGTGTTTTCCCAGGAAACTCACCACGGCATGAGGATGGCTTTTGCTGGAAGACTTTTCATTAGTTATCTGCTGCTGTTACACTCGACTATAGGTATGCTTACAGTTGTCGACCAATAAAACCTTGTCATCCTGAGTGTGTGTCCCTAAATCTAATTTAAAACATGCCATTGTTCTGTCAGATCAGCATACCTATAGTCAATATGCATACGCAAGACGCCAGATTTGCGTTTATCCCTTTAGTTTTGTACAAAAAATAAACGACCTCGACAGGCATGTATCGCTTTAGTAATGTACCAAAAAAACAATTTAACGTCAGATTGCCATATGCTTCAAAAAGCACCAAAAAGTAACTCATTAAATAGTTTTTTTGTACATGACCAAGGGGACACGTGCCCACTGAGGTAGTTTAAAGTCTATTTTTCATGCAAAACTAAAGGGATAATCTGACAGAACACTGTCAGTTCCTCTATGTGTGTTGAATGAAGATGGATTCGTCTAGTTAACAAGCTGTAAAAGTTAGATCCAATTTCTATAGCTGAGAAAACTCTCCCCTAATGACTCATGCTGCAATGCTTGTCTCAAACTTTTGTATCATCTGAATGCCACATATTTATTTTGTTTTCTGCAACATGGTACCTTGAAATAGTGAAAGGGAATATGCAATGCAACTGTAAAATAGTTGGGTTCTTAGTCTGTTCAACAACCTTCAGGCTGTAAAGTGAAACATGAAAGGTAGCTCATGGCTGAGCTGTTAGCATTGTTGCCTCACTGCATCTTCATCTTGGATTTAAACACCAACTTGTTTGAGTTTTCTATGGGTACCTTGGAGTAATGGTCTGGCGATTCTGCAAAGGGTTTACGCTTGACTCACCCAATGGCCATTGCAGTGGCTATAAACAATTAATGGATGAGAAAGTAAAAACCTGGAAGCAAATTGACTGGTACTGATGCGTCAAACATAATATGAAGCTGCTGTTACTTTCTGTCATTTGCTCACCCTTCCCTGCAAAATTAGCATGATCAAAGTAAAATAAGCTTTTAATTTAAAATGACAGTTTTTTGAAAGTGTGTCTGATATGTACCAGGGATATATTTTTTATGTTATTCATTCTGTTATCTGTACTTATCCTTCAGAGACACAAAGGAGCCTCGCTGAGACTCGCTAGAATTAATTAGCATTGATTAGATGGTGGCATGTTTGAAGGCTGTGCATAAATAAACTCCCTATTCATTTTTCCACTCTTTGCTAATTACTGTGACGCCTTTTACTGTTTCCTTGCAAGAGCCCAGGAAACAGAGCTGCCTTTGATTGCTCCTAGCAGAGAAGGACAAGGTCAGTAGCTTTAATACAGGTTATTCAGACAGAAGCCTTGCAGAGGCGCTATCCCCCCCACTTATAGGTGAAGAAGTCTTTTCAATTGCATTGATGCCCCTTAAGGTTTTTCACTTAGTCAAGAATGATGTAAACAACACAGTTCTCCACTGCAGGGATGGTTTATTGCATCTTGCATTTAGCCCATAAACCTTCTAATCTCACCACACTGGATTCTTTAACATTTGCAGTGTTGCAAATGTTGCATGAAGGCCACTTTAGTGGAGTTTATTTAAGGACATCAGAGAGAGGAGTTTGATTTGTTCAGCATTTAGAAAATGATAAATTTTCAAAGCTCTAGGAGTGTCGATACTGATAAAAGATTAAGAAGTATTAAAGTATGAGGGACGAAAAATGACAAAAAATAAATGTGAAAATAAATAAATACACAGAAAATAAATGCCCATACAAATGTATTAATAAATAGATAACTACATATAAAAATAAAATAATACATATATAAATATATAAATGTATGTTTATTTATTTCTACATTCATTTCTATTTTTATTACCATACAGAGACAGAAATGAAGAAATGCAGAAGCACAGAAACAAATGATTGTAAAATTGAAATAGAATTAAACAAATTGAAAATAAATAAAAGTAGAAACACAAAACACAAAATTCACAAAAAATAAATTTAAAATTTGAGGAATACAACAAATTTAAATGTGCCTCTTTCATTACCAAAACAAATAAATATTTGTGCATTTATACACATATTTACTTATTTATTTTAAATGTTATTAATTCATAAAGTTGTATGTGTATTGATCCTTTTTCATATTTTTTTTTTTGTTGTTCCCCAAATATATATATATATA